CCCCCTCACATCCAGCCCCCCTCACATCCAGCCACCCTCACATCCAGCCCCCCTCACATCCAGCCCTCCCACACCCACCTCACCTCAGCCCATCCCTGCAGCTCCTGGTCCTCGTTGTCCCAGGGCATCCTGCTCGTTTCATCCTGCTCTTTTTGGGGTGCTTTATCCCCCATCACCGAGTCCTGTCCCCGCCCCCCAAATTCTGCCCGCAGGTCCCAGCTCCATCTACCAGCTGGAGGACGCCAACGAGGACACCATCGGGGTGCTGGTGCGGCTCATCACTGAGAAGAAAGGTCAGGGGAGGTCCCTGGAGGGGGAAAAGGGGGTGACATGGGCCAGACCCCCGTGACCCCCCCTTCCTCGGTGTCTCCCGCCCCCAGAAAACGCGGCGGCGCTGGAGGAGCTGCTGAAGGAGCATCGAAGGCAGCAGCTCATGCCACCGAGCTGGGCCCCCCTGCATAAGTAAGACCCCCCTCGGGGCCGCGCTGAGGACCCCCCGTGGTGGGACCAACCCCGTGGTGATGGTGGCATCTCCCCCCTGTCCCCAGGCTGCACCTCCTGCCGCAGTTTGCCCCCTCCTGTCACCACCAGCAGCACCCGCACACGGTGCAGGGCCCGGCCCCCTGTGCCCGCTGCACGCAGAAGTGGCCGGAGGTGCTGCCACCCCCCGGGGCCACCAAGGTCCCCAAGCCCGGCGAGGTGACCATCCTCTCCATCGGCAGGTGAGCAGGGACCCCTTCCAGCAGGGGTGTGTCCCCTCCCCAGGGTGGGACAGGCTGATGTGACGCTCCCCCCGCCCCCGGCAGGTTCCGCGTGTCCCGGATCCCGGAGCTCAGGAGCGAGGCGGGGGCTGAGCCCCTCCGGGGGCCCCTCCCCGGCAGCGGGATGAGACCCCCGTGGCTGAAAAGCACCGACGGCCCCCCCGAGGTGAGGGATGGGGTGTGGAGGGAGAGTCGGGGGGAGCCCTTGGAGGGGAAAACTGGGACTTCTGGAGGCTGGAGAGGGGTGCATATGCTGTGAAGCCTAACGGGGGCACCTGGTGAGGTGTGAGGCTGGAGCAGCCCCATCACCCCCCAGGCCTCTTCCAGTAGCTGGGAGGCTTAAAAAAAACACTTTAAAAATTGATCACCCCTTTATTTTCACCCCCCTGTGTTTCAGGTGTGTTGGGGGGGGGGCTGTGGGGTGGGTGCTGATGCCCAGGGGTGCTGCAGGGACACACTGCCGGTGGCCCCTGGGGTGTCCTGCAGCAGCCGGAGACTTGAATACACCCCCGTGTCCCCCTTAATACACCCCTGTCCCCCCTTCGTGCTCTGTACCCCCTAAAAGCAGGTATGCAACAGCACATTACCATATATTTGCATGTGTGGTTGTGCCCTATATGCGGGCAGAAGGCTGTGCAGGGGGGTATGGCCACTTCTGTATGTGCAGGGACCTCTACACCCCCACCCCCCCTCTGGGGACACCAAGGCAGGAGCAAGGGGGTGTCCCACACTGCAGGGTGACACGGGGTGGCACGGCCAGGGGGCTGCTGGTGACTCATGGGCAGCTGCTTGGGCTCACGTGTCCCTGAACACGTTCCCCCCCCTTCCCGCCCTGTTCTCCCTCCCTGCTGCCCGTGCTGGTGACCACGTGCGCCTGGCATGGAGGGGGGTGGGACACAGTCCCATGGAACACTCCAGGATTGGGACAGAGGAGATTGGAAGCAGGGAGAGGCCCTGGGGGTGCTGGTGGTAGTGGATGGACACGAGCCCAGGTGGTACCCAATGTGTGTGACCCACAGTGTGGCAGCAGGGCCAGGGCACTGCCTGTCCCTGTGCTGGCACTGCTGGGGCACCTCCAGCCCTGGGGGCAGTTCTGGGACCCTCAGACAAGGACTGGAGCGTGTCCAGGGAAGGTAATGGAACTGGGAAGGGGCTGGAGCAGCTGAGGGAGCTGGGGGGGCTCAGCCTGGAGAAAAGGAGGCTCAGGGGGGACCTTCTGGCTCTGCAACTCCCTGACAGGAGGGGGGAGCCGGGGGGTTCGGGCTTTGCTCCCAGGGAAAAGGGACAGGAGAGGAAACAGCCTCCAGTTGTGCCAGGGGAGGTTCAGGTTGAACATCAGGAGGAATTTCTTCCTGGAAAGGGTGGTCAGGCACTGGAAGGCACTGCCCTGGGAGGTGGTGGAGTCCCCATCCCTGGAGGTGTCCAAGGAAGGCCTGGCTGTGTCACTCAGTGCTCTGGGCTGGGGGACAAGGTGGGGATGGGGCACAGGGTGGACTTGGTGATCCCAGAGGGCTTTTCCAACCCCGGTGAACCTGGGATTCCGTGTGTTCATACCCACACACGTGTTCACCCCCGCACACGTGCACGTGGAGCTCTGTACGTGTGCCCCCCTCACCCGTGGTCCATCCCTTGTCCTCCACAGGTGGCTCCTGGCCCGGGGGTGGCCTCGGGGGGGCAGTGACACCCACACAGACCCCTGGAGGACAAGGGGCGTTGTGTGAGGCCAGTCCCACTCAGAGCCACGAGGAGCTGGAGGTGCAGCTCAGCCTCTGCTCCTGCCACTGAGGTGTCCAGTGGCAGCACAGCAAATCCAAGGTCCTGCCCAGGTGGTGGGAAGGATTCCCCGTGACGAGGTCTGGTGTGGCAGCCTGACGGACACGATCTCTGGGAGCCACGGCACAGCTCCGCTGGGAGCCACTGGATGATGTCCATGGTCACCTCCTGGGTCTGTTGAGCTGGAGCCCCTCCAGGACCACCACGAGCTCCTGATTTCCCTCCATCACCAGCTGCCAGGATAACGACAGTCACTGGATCACGGGATAACTCCCACCTCGCCAACAACCCCACTGGGCATGGATTGCTCCGGGCAAAGCTGGTCTCCTGCCTCCATCCACCCTCTATCTGAAGTCTCCATCAGCCCAGGGGAACACGGTGGGGACGCTCCCCATGAAGGCCACACACTTCACTTCCCACAGGAGCTGTTTCTATAGGATCACATTGGGATCATCGGGACAACCCACCCAAGGTTGGGCTGGAGACCATCAAGCTCCACCATCGCCCCAGCAGTGGGTTCATGGCCCACCCCATTCACTGCCCCCACCACCTCCCTGTGCCAAAAAAACAACCACCCCGACCACCAAACCCCGTCGGGCTTCTTTTATTTATTTATTTCTTTTTTTTATTATTTTTTTTTTATTATTGACTTTTTTTTTTTGGAAACATTTTCATCGTTCTCGAATGTTCTACATCTGACAGAAAACATCGGACAGTTACAAACTCTTGGCTGGGATCTGTCAGGGAGATCACAAAACCTGATCTTCAGAACCAAAACCAGAACAGAAAACAAACAGGAAAACAACCCCGAATTCCAGATGGACAAACTGAGACTTGGTGGGGGGGGCTCTCCAGGGCAGCAGCTCCAGGCCATGTTCCCTCCACACCTTGGAGGCTTGGAAGACGTGGTTACTCTTGGGTTTAAATTCTTTTTCTTTTGGTATTTTTTGGGGGATTTTTTTTTTGTATTTATTTTTGTTTAAAAGATCCAATAATATTTAAAACCGAGCTGGTCTGGAGGTCAATGTGAATTAAAATTAATTACAAAATGAATGACATAAAAAGAGGGGGAAGAGCCCACGTGGGTTTGCTCTGTGCTCTGGGAATGGGAGGGCTTGGATGTGATCCTGGATCCCACTGCCTCATTTTCCCTCCCTCACCATGCTTCCCGATGGATCCCGACCCTACAAATCCCTTAACTTATCCCAAACCCCTAGGAAAACTCCCCAGCTCCATCCCTTGCAGGAGGACACAGGGAGGCTGCAGATGGCCTTGTTGCATCAAGATTATTCCCTACAAACAGCCCAACTGAGCGTTTCCAAATGGGAATTGCTGCCCTTAGACCACAGATTTTCCTATTCCTGCTTTGCCAACATTCCCACAAATTACTGGAGAATCTACGAGTGCAACACGCCACAAGAATGCCTTTTCCAAGCCTCCCAAGCTCCATAAAAGGGTTTAATTTCTTTTTTCTTTTTTTCCCTATGGGAATGCCAGCACACGGCAGAGAATATCTGAAAGCTGCTCCTGCCTCAGGAGCTCCTGGCAAAGCCAAGGGAAGATGGGCAGAGGGTCACCACATTTTGGGAACAACAGTTGGAGGGCCTGAAAATACTGGCAATTAAAAAATAAGCCCAAACTCCCCCCAAAACACCCTGGATTTATGGGTATCCAGCGGCTCTTATTGCTCTTGTTGGCTGGTTGGATTTTCCTATCAAAAATAAAGCCCCAAATGTGGGTTTTCCACCCCCCTAAAAAAAGCAAGATCCGATTTCATGCCCTCCAGCTGGGAACCACGTCATCCCAAATTCCCTGGGGGAACGCAGGGCATGGCAAACGGTGGGAGGGGGCTCTGGAAAGGACCATATTCCGGTGGCTGTGGGAAAACCTGATCCTCTGAACATCCACCATTAAAGCAAACCCCTTAAATTTTAACACTTCAAGGTAATTCCATCCTGGAACTGCAAAAACTGGGTTATTCATTATCCATAAAATCCAGGAGCAAATCCTTGCCTGGAGGGCTGAGCCACTTGGAGGCGTGAAGGGTTTGGGCTCCAAGGGGGGGGGGGTCACCACCAGGACTAATATTCCTATTTTTCCCCCCAAATCTCACACTAGAGCTGGTGTTTTAAAGCCAAGATAAAGGCAGGGATGGGTTAATGGTGGGAACAGCGGGTTGGGAGTTATTTTCCCTCCTCTTTAGCTGGAATTTTAATCTCAGACACTTCCCTGGATGGTTTAACCCCTCCTGCTCTTCCCCACTAATCCCGGGGTGATGGAAAACCCTTTTCCATAATCAACATCAGCAAAACTGAAATATTTGGGAAGCTGGTGGCCCCCCAGCACTGTCCCCACCCAAGGGAGGCTCTGACCTTCCCAGGACCTTCCTTCAAGCCATGGAGAGGAGGAGCCCAAGGAGAGGGCTTGGGATCAAGGGAAGGGCAGGAGCGTCTCCCCACCAGCACAGCCACACAGAGTCACCTCGGGAAGGAGCTTCCCAAGCCTGGCACTGCGTGGAGGCCCCAGAGCCAAGTGGTGGCCCCAGAGCCAAGTGGTGGCCCCAGAGCCATGTGGTGGCCCTGGAGCCACGTGGTGGCCCGAGCCTAACCCAGCCCTGGGTACCAAAGGTCCTCAGTGAAGCCTCCAGCCCAAGAGGTGCCAAATATTTCCCCTCTCCACACTTGGCTGAGTTAATGAGGATTTCTGCCTGGGAATAACAGGGTGAGGAGCTGCTCTTGATCTACTCAAAGGGGTTCAAACCCAACTGCCCATCTGAGTGGGAAGACTGGGTGACCCTCCGTGTTCAACTCCTGGAGCTTCCTCCCCACTTTTAGTGTTCTTTCCTTTCAGGAGAAAGCCCAACAACTCCTTCCCAGCCATGGACCGAAATTTTAGGGGTTGTCCCTAAAGTCCTGAAGGGTGTCTGGGACAGTGGGAGGGTGGTGCCTGCTGGGAAGGGTCCTCTGCACAGCCTGGGCTCTGATCACAAAGCTTGTTGGACCCTTTTCTCCTTCTCCTTTCCTTCCCAAAGTGCAGCCCAAGGGTGCACCTTCCCCAGCCCACAGGGATGTCCCCTCAAGCTTGGGGAGGTCAACCAGGGCTTTGCTCTGGATTTCCATTAAAAATCCAGCAGCACTTCCATTAAAAACCAGCAGAACCAACCAAACAACCCCCAAAGAGGTGCTACTGCCAACACCCAACCCGACAGAGCAAACAGTGGCCGGAAAAGTCCTCCTGGATCCCTAAGCTTCTTCCTCCCCATCTGGTTCACACTCAGGGAGCTCCAGGAGCTCCTCCCAGTGGCGGCAGAAGCCAAGATGGGAGACACCACCCAAAGCAACAAGAACAGGTCACCTTCTCTTCCAAAAAGCTCTCCAGCCTGACCTCTACACCACCATGGAGGATCCAGGTGAGCCTCCAGAGCCCTCAGGTCCATCAGGAGACGTGATCCAGGCACGACCAAAGCAGAGCACCCAACACTGACTCAACACCACACACGGGTCGGAAACCCAAGGCAGGCAGTGCCCTGAGGGATTCCCATCCCCAGCTCCAAACCTGACCTCTCCAAAGGCTCTGGATTTGACAGCCTCAAAGCCCAAGGAGCAGGAGCGTTGCCAACAGGGAACACTTTTGGCACGTTGAGGGAAAAACCAAAACCCAACCAAGTGTTTTGCCTTGGAAAAGAGAAATAAATAAGCAAAGCCTCGTTTCTAAACTGGGTTTAGTGAGAAGGGTTTAAAAATAAACTGGCCACAAGTTGCCTGCAAACACAAACTCCCTCTGCTGCTCTCGAGACAATGTATTGCTCTACTGGGACACCCCAAGGTGGGACATCTTTGTGTCCTTGTGTCCCTGGCTGAGCCAAACCCCCCAAAATCCCCCTGGTGCCCACAGCCTGGTGCGACCACCGTCCCCCACCCTGCCCCATGTCACCTGGGGATCCCTTCCCTGCTTCCACCTTTGCTTCCCGGGAGGAAGGCGACGTGTTTATTGCTATTGCTTCCTCTCCTCCCACATCTCCCCTGGCAGAGCAGCCAGACTTCCCACCCCTTCCGGCCCTTCTCCACAGTGCTGGTGTTTGTGCTTGGATGGACATTTCTCCTGGAAGTCTCAGAGCCCAAGGAATGAGTGGGGGCACCTCAACCCTCAAGTTTGGTCTCAGCCCTGCCAGTGACACGGGTGGAGGGTGAAGCCACCCACCTTCCCCTCACCCTGCCTTGAAGACTCGTCTCCATCAACCAGACGCCCTTTTCCCACACCACCATGCTCTGAAGAAGATCTTCAGACCAACTCCTGGATCTAGAGAAGCTCTTTAGACCAACCTTGGACCTGGAGAAGCTCTTCAGAACAAACACTGTACTCAGAGAAGCTCTTCAGGCCAACCTTGGATCTAGAGAAGCTCTTCAGACCAACCCCTGAACTCAGAGCTCTCCAGACCAACCTTGGATTTGGAAAAGCTCTTCAGACCATATCCTGAGCTCTTCAGACCAACCTTGGATCTGAAGAAGCCCTTCAGACCAACCTTTGGACCTGGAGAAGCTCTTCAGACCAACCCTGGGCCATCTCCTTGCCTCCTTCCCCACCTCTCCCCTTCTCCTTCCCGCAGCCCCAGGACGTGGCTGATGGGGAGCACCTCATTTTCCCAAGCTGCTCCCAGGGCACGTGTCCCTTCCCACCAGCCACCATCCATTTTCCCAGTTGGAAGAGCAGCCCAAGGCCCCCGCCGGTGACCAGTCCTCACCCTCCCTACAACAAAAGCGCTACCCACATTTATATCCTCTTACTCCTACAAAAAGAAAGGATGAGTTCAGAATTCCACTGCAGATTTCGAACCTACCACGACAGCTATTCTGGAAGACACCAATTTTGCTCGGAATACGTGACGGAAGATTGAATAATTGATCATCTCCCACTAAAAAAAAAAAAAAAAACAACGGGAACAAACCTGCCTGTCTAAAGAAAAACCAGCGCTGTGCTTTTCACAGTCCCCCGAACATCAACCACGCTGCAAATCTAGGCTTGGGCAACGACGACGACGACAGAAGGAGAACCCAAAAGAACACGAAGTGGGGGGATCTTTGCACCACTCAGCTGGCAAAGTGAAGATTCTGAGCTTTCCAAGGACCAAAGAGAGAGAACTTTACTATTGCTCGGTGTCAGTCATGTGTGTTACACGATTTATGTGGGAGGGGGACGGGGGGGAAAATCAAAGAGAGGCAGAAGATTAGAAAAAGCAGCTTTTACAAAAACCACTAAAGGATGCATAAAGTGACCCTTGCACTCGGTTTGTTGAGTTTTGTTCTTGCAAACAGACGAGGTGCTGCGGCCCAGGGGCCGGGGCACCGATGTAAGACTTGTGGAGTTGCATACAATGTTTGATTCCGGATCTGGGAAAGAGAAAACACCCGAAAACGGGGAGTTAGAAGCAAGTTCCGGAAGATCAGGGCTGTTCTCTGCACTCCTGCACCACATAGAGACAGTCCATATGGAATTTAACCATCCCTGAGGACAATTCCTTGAGCTCAGTGGTGGGATCCAATGCCAAGGATATGAAGATGGGATGCTCCCTGCTAATTGCCCACCAAAGAGAGATTTGGGATAAGCTCAGGGCTGGGTGGGATC